ATATTTTATTTTTTACGTCATTTTTAAATTCTGAACGATGTGATGAATATTTTGATTTTACAGAGACGTTTGTTTTTTATGTGTATGTACACAATTGCTAATGAAAATAATGCTTCGATTTTAAATTTTAAATACTTTCTTACTTGAAATGTTCACCAAATGTTTATTGGCATCATCTATACATAGTATAACTAAATATTTTTATTTTATCTAACGATAAATAAAAAATCTTTTTGGTTAAAAAAAGTCAAGTTGAAGACAAAAATTTATATTTTAATAAAAATATTGAATGAAAAAAAATCTTAATAGAATAAAAAAGTTAGATTTTTTATTAAAATTGTATATTAAAATTTTTTTTTTTTTTAAACCAATACATTCATCGGAGCCGCTCAGTCTAAAATATCTATACGTTAACAGTTTTTTGAGATTTTGATGCAGTCTGTGAAAACTTTAAATGCATATAAAACAATAATTAATTAAATATACATTTTCTAGTGGCAGAGTATAAAAGTAAGTGGGCATGTCTTCGTAATAGTTTTGCAAGAGCATTACGTGAAGAAAAATCAAAAATATCTGGTTCTGCTGCTTTGAGAAAAAAAAAAGTGGTATTTATTCAATGAAATGTCATTTTTGTCAAGTTTCATGTTGCAGCACAAGCAAACGTTAAGTAATCTGGAAGCATCAGATGATGAAAGTTAGGCAACTGATACTGAAAAAAGTACAGAAAATCCAAATCTCAATGAGAGCGTAAATGAAATTGAAAATGAAGGTACGAATACTACATGTTTAAATGACAGACAAGAGCTGACAAGAGTATCTTCTGAACCTGTATTTAAAAAACCAAAAAAAACTCAAATTAAAAATTCAGCTGCAGAACAAGTTGCAGGGCCTATGATCTCACCTTTTTTTACGTTCAAAAACAAATAAGTCAGCTGTAGAAGATGTTGATTTATTACTTTTTAAAAGTCTTTTGCCCAATTTCAAAAAATTAAATGGAAAAAAAACTAGCGCCTGTTTAAACAGTTTGTATTAACAACTTTAAATACATACATCAACAGCCAAGAAGCTCAAGAATCAGTAGGTAATGTCGATAATGATAAAGTATCATATGATAATACTACATTAAATGTACCAGTACAGGAATTTCAAACCTACAACTATACTTTCAGTCCACCCGAATATTCATCATCAAATTGCTCAACATACTGATAACTTATTTTAAATAATAACTAAATTATTAATACTTATCGTATAAATTTAAAAATAAATAATAAATAATACACTTTAAGTAAATTAATAAAAGAATTAAATTCTTAAAATAAAAAAAAATTATAAATTGTATTGTATAAATTTGTTTTTCACTTACTTCACTTACTAAAGTTTGATTAATAAATATTTCTAGTATACATTTCTAGTATTATTATTTGAACTCACCTCAAGGTTACTAACAATTTTTCAGCAGGAGCTATACTTTGACGAAAATTTGTGTCTTGTGATCGTATTGCCTCTCTAATTTCATTTAATATAAAATCAAAAGTAGTTGAACTCATGCGAGTGAAATTTTTAAATTTTAACTCATCTTTACGTAATTCAGCCAAAAAGTTCAAAATTGTATTATTTTCTGTACGTTTTTTATTTATTTCGTGCACCAAAATTTTACGTTTACGATTATTTTCATTTATTTCATTATTTTACAAAAATTGCCACAAAAGCGGGATAACAACATCATCTTCATCAGAACTCATCTTGACGACTGGTGTATAAAACAAAAAAAGAATCGGAAATTATTTTGTCTTGTTCGGTTTTGTTTTGTCAGTATGAATGAAATTTGTTCGGAGCCGTTTGGAACAAAATGTTACGACTAGCTCGGAACAGTTTTGCTCTATCAGTGTTCGCCCGGCCTAATACATAAAACAAAAATTTATATATTATTTACAAATATATTTTACCAATATTATGTATCATGTAATTTATTAATTTATATAGTATTCGAAGATGTACTCGCGTCTTTTAGTTTAAACTATCTATGTCCTATACTCATTTATAGATAGCTAGATGTATATAGTATCCTAATCATGAGTTTTTTTGTGTAATACGATTTGAATAAATGTATGATATAACAGATAAATAATCCATATAGCCTATTATATGGCAAAGGTCAATCATTCGCTAGATCGGTATACATTTTATATTTTTATTTGTTATCAACACTTATCGTATTAACGTCGACGCCCGTCGGTAACATGAAAGAGGGTGAGTATCTAAATAATAATTATTTAATTATTCAATAATCGATTATAAATGATGACAGTAAATATCAAAGTAAATGAACACAAATATTGTCATTCTGTCCAACTGTTAACATCAGTAATAACTTAGATTTTCGCTGGAATTTTATTACGGTTTTATATTTTTTTTATTTTTTTTTTAATGTGAAAATGGATCAAACTAAAAAAACAACTCGTCGCTTCTCATCAAAAAAATTATTAGTTAAAAAATCGCCGAGTTCTCAAGTGATGAATATTCTAGGAATTCGTGCCAAAACTAAGTATAACTATTTATTATATAATTATCAAATATGGTTATTAATTTGACTTAATTTGTGTGAACAAAGTCCCAACCCAGATATCGTAGAACCTATTGTGGAATCTTTTTTCTGTGCTGGCAATCAACTGACGCGGTCCCCCGTAATATTCTGTTTGAATTCAAACGGCCTTTACGCGGAAAACCGCGGAACGACTTCTCTATCCAACCGCCAGCGACGACGGACGACGCCGACGCACGATAACGGCGTCGGAACGTCTTGATCACCGATACCGCGAACCGGTCCGACGACCGGAGTCAGTTTTTCACCATACGCCGTACGCGATTTAACAACCTCGGGTTTTTATTTTCGAGTGTGTACTGCGAACCCCTTTTTTCCTTGAAAAACAGTGATCACTCATCGTTTTCACCAGTGTTCAGCATTTGTTTCGTCTTTTTTATACACAATAAACCGGCACATACCGTTTTTCTATTACTTGACACTTTGTATATTATTTTGTTTACCTTCAACCTTCCGCCGTCCTATTCCACCTTCAGGTACGCATCACAACCACCATGCTCATCGAGGGAAACGATTAGGTAAAGTTTTAAAATGTAATAACTTATTGTAGGTTGCTATTTAAATTTATTTTAATTAGATTATTATAAATAACATACCTACGTATAATAATAATAATTATATATATACTATATATTATTATATTATTATTATATGTATTAGTGTGATTATTTTATAACAGCATTTTTTTTTTTTAAGTCACATTTCAGAGACTGTAGAATCTGTTGTGGAACCTTTTTTCTTAGGTGCTGACAATCAACCACCATGCTCATCGAGAGAAACAATTAGGTAAATTTTAATAATTTATAGCCATCAAAGTTTTATTGTATGAAAACTAAAACTAAAATTATTTTTTATTTTTTATTTATAATACATATGTTTTTTTTAATATTTTAGCAAAATGGTGGATTTGAGGGATAATAAAACTAATGATTGGGGTACTGAAAAAGTTTTACATAACTTGACATTTGATGAATCTATATCTAGTAATTAAGAAACCAAGTATGATTTTTAATTTAAAATTTGATTCTACTAATTCGCGAATTTGTTATTATTTTTGAAAAATCAGCGTATTTCATCTATTTCGAATATTGGTTATAACAGTTTTAAAAATTAAATATTATTATTTAAATGTTATAACAGGTCATGCGATGTAAATGAGAGTTCGGGAAGACAAATAGTGGATATACATTACGTTTTTAGTCAAATTAAAAATAGTGTTCATCAAGGGTCATTTGGTTGTTCATTTTCGAACATGACATTTATTTCTGAAAAAAGACGGGGATTTAGATCAACATTTAGGTTTCAGAATTTGCATATTTAATGGGCGGTGGACCAGGGTTTCTAAAAAGATTTATATTTTAAAGTTATTTTATATTTAAGAAATTGTTAAAGTAAATATTAATATATCGTTATTAATACTTAAAACTCAAACCTCTACCCTTCCTATACTACGACGTTGTACTTGACATTGTGCATTCGTCGTTAAAGAAGCATTGCAGTAAACTACGTTCGAGTGACAGCGACGGTTACTATATACATTTGAATATTCAACATCCATACAGCTATCGGGATCTGGTTATTTTAGACACACTATATATAACCGATCGATATAAGGTCACAAATTGTTATTATTTATACATAATAAATATAGTTATATTAGGTCATAAGCCATTAGGTACCATTGAGTATGTGAATAAATACCTTTATACATAAACCATATTTCATGTAGGGTACCTATTTTAAAACACATATTTTGATATTCATAAATTTAACAATAAATGAAAAAAATTTTGATTTGATTTTTAAGTGACTATATAACTCGGTAAATAAAAATTTATAATTTACTTTATGTTCTTAACATAATTCTAAACTAAGTACATAATATAACTACGGTTAAGGTTAATACATTTTTATTAACTAAATTAAATAGGTAAGTACTAGAAAAATATAATTTATTAATTTTTATAATTTTTGAGCTGCAAAATATGATCAGTGAAAATTAGAATTTTGTCTTCTGGAGTTAAACAATTTGCGTCTGAACATGACTTGAGATTCGGAAACTGACTCAGTTCTTAACGATTTATGTTTGTTCAGTAAAGATCAAACTTAAAAATGAATGAGGAATATATTCCTTTGGCTCTGATAAAGTTCATCTTATTCCCTTGAAGCTTCAAATTGACTTCATTCATTTTTCAAAACTATCTGTGAGGTACCCAATCTCAATTTTTCATTGCTTCAAATTTTCTTTTAAGACAGGATAAATTTTATGGAGAATTTTGATGATAGAGTCAAATAATGCAAAAAAACGACACAAACATTTTCCTTTGGAAAACCATCTTACTGCAGTATGCAAAAGTAATCTTTCAAAATCTTCATCATTATCATGACAAAGTTCTCATAACATGCGATCATTGAGTGAATTTGTTTTAATCTTGTTTACAGCTTTTATGACGAATTGAAGGGTTTCGTGCAGGAAACCGCTTAAGTTTTTAGCAGCTAAATGTGGGCGAAATACAACACAATGAACACAAATAATACCTGGAACGGCTTTTTTTAGATGGGCTAAAAACCCAACATGACGACCGGTCATTGAAGGCGCGACATCCGTTGCGCATACAATAATATTTGTCAAGGGGACATTTTTTCTGATAAAATATTCCTCCACCGCTTGAAAAATCAACGACCCTTTGGTATCAGTGGTCAAACTTGTAGCAAACAATACTTTTTCGACGATTTCTTTACGTTCATTAATAAACCTCACGTAAGCTAGTAATATAGCTCTATTATCTGTCACAGTTGATTCGTCAATCTGAAGTGTAAAATTATTTTCTCTTAAATAAATTATAAATTTGTTTTCGATGTCATCTGCTATTTCATCAATTCTTTTGGAGACAGTTTAATTTCTCAAAGGAATTGACATAATCATCTTATAACTAGAACCCTCTCCTTGCATAGTATCGATTATTTCATTGAGAGCCGGTAAAATAAGAGTCTCGCCGATTGAATGAGATTTACTGTTTTTTGCTATCAATAAAGACACCTTGTACGAAGCGACAAGTCTTTTATCAAGATCTGATGTTTGTTTTTTAAATAAACGATTCACAGTAGACCGTTTTTCAATTTTTGCTTTAAGAGACTAAAAAAACGAAAGTGGTTTCTCCAGTTTATAGGAATGAATTTTTGATAAATGATCTTTCAATATTGATGGCTTCATAGCCTCATTAGAAAATGTTTTTTCACATAAGGCAAAACGGTAACTGTACATTAAGTGGTGACTCGATAAAACCTAACTGTATGTACTCTACTAAATACTGACGGCACTTTTTTTTTACACTATGATCACTCATTATAAAAATATTTATATTTCAATTTACTTGGTTAAAATAAGTCTGTTAATTTTGTCAGAAAAACAACGTGTGTTAAGTTGGGCCCCCGACATTGTCTGATCGATTTCGGACCAATACCAATATTTTGTAACTCATTTGTAACTCTTCAGAATTCGTAACTCCTTAGTTTGGGTGCTATAAATTTTTTCTGATAGGGGCCAAATTCACGTAACTCCCTCTCGACATTGTCAGATCAACTCCCAACTCCTGGTGTTTATTATAGCACCTATATTTATATTACCTGGATCTTACTGCTTACTGATCCACTCAATTATGTGATGAAGTGATTTAAGTGCTCGTTTTAAAATAATTAAATGATTAGTAGTGACTGGTATAAAATATTTAAAGGTACTATGTGCACTATTGGATTCAATTAAATGGTACCTATATGAAATATACTATTATAACATTTTTGTATATCACTTCCTAATCCACTAGATTTAGCTAATCACTGCACTTAATTTTTTTTCCGGAAACAATTATTCACTGTTCATAGTACAGTAAAAGGCGCTTATTAAAAACACTTTGGGACCAAGGTGAATTGTGTCAATTAACCGATTGTTTCTAATAAGCGATTGAAAAAAAAAAAGGTAATAGGTAAGCGAAAAAAATATGTATGTATGTATGTACCTATATTGTATAATTTAAAAAAAGTATGCACAATTGTATATATTTTACGATATTATTTAAAATATTTATCATTCGTAATTTGTTTTTTTGCGTCGAGTAACTCCATGACCATATTTTCATACGAGTAATATCCTGTCGAAGTAACTTATACATTTTACTTACCTTGAATGAATGAGAATATGATTAATACATTTTTCACATTGCGCTTAACATTTAAAAAAGGTATATCAGCATTGAGGTGGTGGAAGTTTCAAGGACAGAATAGTATAATTTTACAGTATTCAATTTGAATGCGATTGCATTTGATAAAAAAAAACAATTCTGAGCTTATTTTATTAAATTTTTAAATTTTATTTGTTGCTATGGCGATAAACAAAGTGTTATAAATTAAAATCTAATTATTTTGTAATTTGTTGGTGGTTTTTCCCTTAGCGTTATATAATTATTAAGAAAATCGAAAAATAACTTCTCAAAGGTACCATCTAGAATCACTTTAATATCAGTAAAAATTATGATCTCAAGAATCGAAGTATGCTTACTATCCAAAATGTTGCTGACAGACAAAAAACCAAAAAAAAAAAGCGGGCAAGTGATTACCGCTCTGCTGTACATTAGGGAGTGGGGTAAACCTCGGACTTGGGTAGGTTAAATGGGGAATTATTGATTCTGCTGAAACTACCTGTTTAGGAAAAAGGTTTGTATCGATTCCTCCGGCTACTGTTTATAATATCCACACATCGATTCTGCCGGACACTGTTTATCCCCCCCCCTTGTATATGTATTTTAAAATATATAGCAGCGGTTTCCAAATTTTTTTAGTTTATGTCACCATAAAAATAAAAAAATGAATTGCACCTTCTATGAATAAATAAATAACAATAATTATTAATATTAATATTTATGTGAATATATTAAAAAATATTAAAATGTATAGTCTAATGCCGGGTTGCATAAACGATCGATAAAAACAGCACGATAAGGTTTGTTATCGGATCGATAAACCATTATATAAATATCTTTATCGGTTCCATTAAGTACATCACTGTTGCATAAAATGTTGAATAATTTAATGACTTACCTTGGTCATGGTAGTTTGGTATATTCAATAACGACCGATTTATCATTTTTGTTATCATCATTTTTTGAAATTTTACCGACGGCTAGTATTTAGTGAATTGCGAATGGTGATTATCGATTTTATATTTATATCGAATATTGACAAAAATACTGTGCAAATACTATAGATCTATATTCTATATATTTGCTATTGAGTACCGACAAGTGACAACTAATACATTTGATTTTAATTTTGTTTTTAAATTATAATACCTACTACAATATGTCTAATATAATTAAACATAGAAGCAAAAATGTCAATGATGCAGAAAAACATATGTTATTGAAGTTGATTAAACCACAGTTAAGTGTAGTTGAAAACATCAAGGTGTGTACCTATTTCAGTTTAGAATAAATTATATTTAATTTAAGTTGGAACATTATTAAAACATTAAATGCAAACATTTTCTGCTCATGTTTTAAATTAGACTGATGGTGCTACAAACAAAATGAAATGTAGTGTTTGGGAAAATATTACTACAAGTTATAATGCATTGCAAACCACTGGACCAAGAACCAGCAGTCAGCTAAAAGCATTATTTGATGTTATGAAACGTAAAACTAAAAAGGACAAAAGCTCTGAAAAAGTAAATTATTTCAGAAATACACAAAATATTGAATTATTTATGTTTAAATTATTTTCTAAGTAGGTAGGCTATAATTTTAACTAAGAATATAATTTTATTGTATTTGGTTTAATGTACTTAACAAATTTATGTTATTTTAATAGCGCTCAAACAGGTGTGAAATATTTTGTTGTAGATTAAAGTTAATAATATATTTTTTTTAAACAGGTTAACTCCAGTCTTGTAAAAAATACTTTTGAAAAAGTATTAAAATACTAATACTAGTATTCGCATAAAAAAGTATTAAAAATACTTTTAAAATACTTACATAAAAATGTATTTTACGAATACTCACAAAGTATTTGAATACAAATACAAGTATTTTTTTTAAATTTTACACCTTATAGTAGCTGTTTCCAAACATGTTTATTAATAAACATGAAATAACTTACAAATTAGGCTATAAATGTAGTACATACTCATATTTATCAATATCAATATCAATTATCAATATATAATATAGTATCATAATATATTTATACGTTATACCTAATATATACTTATAATTTATCAATATAATAATATATAATTTAGCATCATTATATATTTATAGTTAAAATAATTTTTACATTCGTATAAATCAAATATTATACATTTATACAAATATGAATATAAATTAAATTTCTATTCAGAAAAAAAAACTAACTGTAATAATGAAATAATCATTATATTTTTGTTAAAATTTGTTTCACAATATTCAATAAAAATTTTATTTGAAAAAAAAAAATAATAAATTGTTATTATTTAGAATTTAGATAATTTTAGAATTACTTTTCAATAACATGGTTTTTTCAAAATTAGAATCGCTCATCTTCCCTCTTTTTTTTGTTAAAATACAGGCCCCTATACTAAACACTCTTTCAATAGGTGCACTTGAGGGGAGGGGAGTATTATATTTTACAAAAACCTTTTTTAAAATTGGAGTATAATTTAATACGTTGATTTTTTTAGTTGGACTCTTGTTGAGAAAGTCAGCAATTTCATTTTCAACTAATACATTCCGACTTTTTTTTGTTGATGCCCATGAAAAAAACGAATCATTAGTATCTTCCTCTTGATCGCTATCATCACTACTACTAGATTTCTTTTTGTTCAATTCTCCAGTATCTTGAACCACTTTGTCAGAATACATTTCATACATTGCATCTTTTAATAAAGAGATGGCAACATTTTTCCTAATTTCATTTTTAATCCATGCACACTTGAAAGAAGGATGGCTTACAGCTGCAATAATAAGGAAATTGTTTTCTTCTAGAGCTCCAAATCTTTTATTCACCCCATCACATAAAGCAGTTACCAAGGGTTGACAATACACAATTTGTTTTCTGCTCATAGCTTCAAGTTTACTTGACAATTCATTTATTGTAGGCAGCAAAAAGCCAAAGTACATATTGCTTTCACCCTAAATAAATATACTACAATTAAAATAATGCCAATGAAATGTTAAGATAATATTATAACAAGCTTTAAGATAAAAAAAACAATTTGATCATAAAATATTAAGTGTTTGCTAATAATAAATAAATGTATAAAATGTAAAAAATATTAACAAAAAACTATGAAAATTGGAAATTTTAGTCATATAGCATACTTAAACAAATTTACAAAACATTCATGCATTGGCAATCTTTAAGCAAAAATAATTCAAATACTCCCATTAAAATGTATGTATTTAAGTTAAAGGTCAAAGCTTACCATGTGCAAGTTGCTCAAACTAGTATTATATTAAACTTTTAAACACAATGATGTTAACAAGTGACCACTTGAATAAAAATATAACTACCAATTAAGTGTACTTATATATCCATATTTGTAATATTAATAAGTAATACAAAAATTAACTGTATGAATTATTATTATAATTATAATTTAAATATTACCTGGAGAATGTCAAGTGAAATTGCAACTGGTTCCATAACCAAGCAATATTCTTCCATAAATTCCACATCATTATTATTAATCCTGGCAATTTTAAGTTCATCACAAATTAAATTAAATTTTGTAGGGCTTGATTTTCGGTGTAATAGTAGAAATCTTATGGCATCAAAATGAGAGTTCCACCTTGTAGTATTAGGGATCTTTAAGTATACTCCAATGTTATCATTTATTATATCAGCAAATTGAGTGGATCTACTTTGCTTATTAAAAAGTGCTTGCAATTTTCCAAATGTGGATCTACTTTGCTTTTTAAACATATTATTTTTAAGAGCAGCTTCAGCATCCTGCAAAATTAAACATAACAATTGTAAGTTTATGTATAGTCAGAAGTGACATACTGGAATATTTACAGGGGGAGGGGTTCCATGGGCTCCAGATCCCTCCATTGATATCCAATATTTGTTAAATTATACTATTACAACCATGATCAAATTTGATTTTTACGCGTCATAATGTGTTATATATAATAATAACAGACTATGTTTTTGTATCATAGTTAATAAATATTTCATAACATTACCTTAGTCGCAATCAAATTTAAAGTGTGGGCTGCACAGCGATGGTGTTTTGGCAAACTATACTGAATATCAGCATTTTCTTCTAAAATATCAAAAACAGAAATCACAGATATGTTTTCATTCAATTCATCATCATCCACTCGTAAGTCATCTTCGTCATTTGTTATTTGCATTTCAAATTCATCATCAGCACCATCATCAATAATATTATTAACAAACGTACCCAAATTTAAAATATTTTGATCATCATTTTTACTGTAGACTCTGAAAATACAATTATTATTAGGCTATTAACTGTTTGCTTAACATTACCTATCTATAGTAACATAGGTAACATAAGGTTTTTGACTTTAAAGCTGGAATTATGCCTTATAGGTAATTTGACTTATAAGGTATAGTTTATGGTATTGTAAGTTGTAACTTTAAATATATTCTGGACTCTGGTACATGAATACAATGTTGAGAACAAATTAGAAAAAATACAATTAAATAAAATAACTAACTTGAAACTTTTAACAAAATTTGAACCATTGTCTGTGGTTGAATATGTAATTTTATGACTAATATCAAATTCTGAATAAACTGACTCCATGGACTTTGCTAAAACATCATATGTATGCTTTCCTTTTAAGCGCTTTATTGCAAGTAGACATGAAATTCTTGTTAAATCATTTTTGTTTAACCAATGCCCAGTTATACCAATATATGATCTGAAACATTTTTTTTACATTAGTATATTCCTGTAACATCTATAATTTTAAATGAAATATTTTTAATACATAGTACCTACCCTAAGTCCCAAAGGATCAATAATATCTATTTTTTATTTTTAAATACTAACTTCTTAAAAATTGACCAACAATCAGCTGTAGTTGAAATGTGATTGACCAAACTTAATTCTTTTTTTAAATTTGTTAACATGGTAATTATATTCAAATCAATCCTTTTCATTAACGTTGGACGGCTCAATATTTTTAATTTAGGAAATCCTGTTTGTAAAATAGATTTAAATTCTGTAGCTTCTACCAAGGAGAATGGCAAACATCGATTAATGATCAAATTTTGAATCATGACATCCAACTCGTCTGAAAAATATACATAAATTACATTTTACTACCTAGCTAAAATAAAAATCATTGTGTCAATGAACATTTTCTTGACACTTGATTTAATTATAAATTATAATATTTACATACCTTGAGTTGTATTGTTTTTGGATTCTACATTACACTTTTTTTTACGCATGGTTAAACTTTCTTGTAATGTTAACTGTACATTTGAATTTGAACGTTTTGATTTGTTTGTACCATTATTTATTGCAATTTGAGTTGTAGAAGAACTTGCATCAGATTGATCATTAGTGAATACTATGTCATCACGATCATCAAGCTTAAGTGAAATATGTTTGTGTTGTGTCTAGAAAAATAATTAAGTAATATATAAGTTAAGTAATTAGGTACCAATCAAAACAAATTTCTAAAGTTGTTGTTTTTTTTTTTCATTTAAAACATGTTGAAAAGGTATTAGAGTTCGATTTAAATAAAATATATTTTATAATTCTTTACAAGTAAGTAATTCTACCTATAGGTAAATAACTACAGATCACATATTATGTACAATTATATTAAATATTAATTGTATTAGTAAAAGTGTATAACAGTATAATTTTAGGTACTAATTACATCTTATTCACAAGACTGATCAAGTTAGGATAATTTTGAATAATTAACTAAAAATATGTTTAGGGAAATCAACTTTGTTATAATATGTACTTACATAGTTACTTATTTAAGATTTTTTGAATATCTATAGTTGAATTTTATAGATTAACAATAACTTCCTTAATATATTTATGTCGGATTTTTCCCACCTATGATTGATTATAATTGTATTAGTTATTCGTTTAACTTTAAGAATCTTAATAGTTAATGACAAATAAATGCATACAATTGCAATAATATAATTATGTTTTAGTCTAATATAGTTATAGCACTTTCCAACCTTTAAAACAATATTTTGTAATTTAAAAACCCATTTTATTTTTCATGCACTTTGATTGTACAAATACAATTTTATCTACCTACCAAGCTTTAATTATTAGGTATATTTTATTTTATCTTATATTATGTAGGCATGTAGCCAGTCAATAAGTACAACTGTATATAATTTTTAGTAATAAAAAGTACCTAACTGTTATGATTATCATAAAAAATAACAGTACCTACATATTATAAGCCCAAATAGCGAACCAAAAACTTTAAAATTGGTTGTGGTTCACGTTGAAGATTACAATATATACCTAGGTACCTAGTTTTTGAAATAGTAAATATGTATGTACAATCAGCTACCTATAAATGAATAGTACAACTATTATGATCTGGGCTTATAATATTTTTGAATATAACAGTCACAAATGCTCAAGTTTTTTTTTTAATAGATACTTAGGTGTATTGTCCATCTGTATAAGCAATGGCTATTTAGAAAAACTAAAATTGATACTGGACATACGAGAATTTATGTTAAATTTATGTAGGTACTAGGTAGGTACCTATATAATAAAATTTATGTTAAATATAGGAAGATAGTACTTACTGTCAAATGTTTTTTCAAATTTGAAGGTGATCTCGTATCTGCAGTTAGAGATTTTGATCGAATGCAATGTAAGCATTTAACTTCATACTTTAAATGATTTAAATGATCATCGATAATTTTAATTATTTTAAAATGCTTGTTGTAGACATTCCACGGCAATCTGTCTTTGTCCATATCCATGTTAAAAAAAAAACGCACTACGGCCGCGATGCACAACACTTACAGATAATAATTATAAAATATTAAATAATACGTAATATAACAAAGTGCGTCGTGTGAGGTGAATGGTGAGTGAACACAAAATGAGGTCCTAGAAATTAAATTGTAACAGTAACTATAAGCCTGACAGTTTATGATAAACAAAAATAACATTTTAGTCTTCACTGTTGATATGGCCCCAGTATTGTACCCAGTTCCTACCTATATTCCATTGGATTTCAGAAAAACCAGAAATGTAGATAGTATAATACCAAAATATTATAATAGTCGTACATTTTTAATAAATAATAATACGGGAAACCCATTACTCATTAGCACAGATAATATAAATTATATTAGTGCCGGCATGGATAAGCAACATTAGCCATTGCCCATTAGGTTATAAATCTGATAAGTCATAACAAGTATATTAATAGATTTGTTCTATTCTGTATTCAATAATAAATAAGAATCAAATGGGTATAAACGATAATAATTTGATACACAGTAATACATTGAGTTTACATAACTGCTATATCTTATTAGTTACCCACTACTTAATAGTAATTATATTCTGTTCAAACTAATAAAATAGGCATCTGTTATAATACTATAGTTATACATGATCTGTAGTCTATGCTATATTATTACTTTTTTTTCTAATAAACATTTATTTATACCAAGTTTATAGTATTTAAATACAAGTATTTACATTTCGTTAAAAATACTTTTAAAAAGTATTCAGAATACTTAAAAAATACTTTAAAAAAATTGTATTTAGAATACCAAAAAATACTTCAAAAAGTATTTTAATACAAGTATTCAAATACTTGTATTCGAATACTTTACAAGACTGGTTAACTCTTACATACATCAGGCAACAGAACAAACTGAGAGGGAAAAAGAAGTAATGCTAGATCTTATTTCAGAAAACAAATTATCTGTTGTATGTTATACATTGTAATTAATTATTTCTTAATTTAATTTACCTACCAAATTATATATATATATATATTTATGTAGGATTCATTAGCTTGTTCGACCAATGCGTGGGATAGCATTGCTGAAACATATAATCAACTGCAAACTAGCGGGGTGAAAACAAGTGGTGAATTAAAAATGATGAACCAAGTTTTATACAAAACGGCCAAATCCAATTTAAATAATGAAAAAGTAAGTACTAAGTAAAATAATTTCATGAGTAATGTAGGTAGCTTTTCACTCTAATAGTAGCTCTATAGTATAAAATGGTATGAAGTAAAAAATTATTATTATAGTATTCAAAAATTTCCAACATACCAAAGGTATGTTTAACGTGGGCCTAGGTGGCAGTTGCCTTGGCTGCAAAATTTTCAAATTGTTTATACGCAGTATTCGTTAATATAGTTAAAAAAAGTAGTTTTTTTTAATATATATTTTAAATATAAAATGTTTGGTTATGAAGTCCCAATTTACAATTAATTGATGCTTTTAAATTTAAAACAATAATACAACAGAAGACCTATCTATCTTTGTCTATATTTTCTGTTGTATTTTATATCCATAACATTTGAATATGATTTTAATAGAAAGATACTTAAAAAAACGGAGGAGGACAATCTATGATTCATCCTTCAACAATCAGCAACAAAATAATTGGCATGATGGGTAACCGATTCGAATCTATAGAATCACCTTATGATTGCGATGGTGATTTTCCAAGTACATCTGCAAATTATACCCCAGTTTCTACTGATGATCAATATGTCGAGATTTTTTATGAAAGTAGTCCAGTAGAATGTAAGTACTTTTAATAGTTTTAAAAATTTAATTTGAGAATATTGTATTGTTTTGTTTTTATTTTAGATTCTTATTTGGGCCCTAATGATATAAATTCAATCGTAAAAGAAAGTACTTTACAACCCAAATCACTTAGATTTGATGATGTGGTAGATAATCAACATACAGAATATGGTAAAAATTATTATCTAAATTTTTAAAACACATTTTGTACAGTTGTTGAATTTTGTTTAGAAAATATAACAAGTGACAAGCAGTTAATGCAAGATCCACTTAAAACTTCAACGCCACAAGAAAAATTTCCGAAGGTTTCAACACGTGTACTTCCCAAGAAAGTATATGAAAATTTAAATGAACTTACTAACCAGCGATTAGGAGCATATAGTAAAAATGAATCATTTATAAATGACAACAATGCTTTAAAAAGGAAACAATCAGAAATAAAACTGGAAATTTTAGAAATAGAAAAAATTGAAGGCAGAAAGAGAGAACTATGCTTCTCAAGTTAAGCAAAATAAACTTAAAGAAGATATTTTAGAATGTGAACTAAAAAAGAAATTAAAAGAACTATAGGAATTATTATTATTTATTATTTCATTTTTTATTTATTTATGTATACAACCAAAAGAATTGTGATTTTATTTTAGTCTGAATCAAAAGATATTTGACTGTTATTATTTATTATATTATTTTTTATTTATTTATTTATTTATTTATATATACAACCAAAGGAATTGTGATTTTATTTTAGTCTAAATCAAAAGATATTTGACTGTTATTATATTTATTATTTATTTTTTTTTTTTTTTAATAAGATTGATTTATTGTTATTTATATATATATATATTAAACATAAAAAGATTTATTCTCAAACAAAACACTTTTTTTTTAAATACACAAGTTATGAGTAACTGTCATTTGTCTTTGAAGGCCCTGTTTTCAATTTAATTTATTTGTAAAATAACTAGAGTTATTCAACAGATAATAAAAAGTAGATAATAATCAGTTCTTCAATGATTGATAATGCTTATTATAAGTAATTTAATCCAAAAACTTTGAGATCTCTTTCCAAAGATTTTTATCTCACTATGCTGAAGATTTTCAAACAAAACTCTAGAGGCTGGACTCATATTAGTACGTCTGAAGCAACCATATCCATATGTAAGAAATGCTTATAATTTTTTAAAGGATGTGTACTATCAAATAGATAAATAGATATACAACATGATATGTTTATTTTATTCTTTTATTTGTAGTTAAGAAAAATAAGTTTCTATTAAATCATTTCTTACAACATTTCCAATCTGTCTTACTGGTAAAGCTGGTAATTCTTCTAATAAATTATTGTCTAATAGCTGTTCATTTAATGGCATTTCATCGTTTTGTTTCAGTAAAATATTATATAAGACTGCAGTAGCAACAATTGTTGTCAAAGCTGTCTTTGGTTGAGTGCGAATGCCAACAGACAAGACGGGAAAACGTCGTTTCAAAACTCCAAAAACACGTTCAATGACATTTCTTGTACCTATTTGGGCTTTCTGTAATTAACATAAAATTTAAAGTAGGCTACATCAGAATAATAAAGTAATATTTTGACAATATTAATTTTAGTTTTTATATACATTTAATTTATGAAAAATACAATTTTTATCCATTTATATCAAACTTGATATTGCTTGAGTCATGGTGATGTATATAATTAATATGAATTAGATGTACATTTGGTACGATAACAACAATATCTGAAAATATGCTTACTTGATATTTTTTTCGGAATTAGTTGTGGGATTTAATAAAGGAGTCATAAGATAACTCCTGCATGGATAACCACCATCACCAAGAAGAAAACATCCTTCATACTCATTGTTTTCGAACTGGGCACGCAGTAAACTGTTGTCAAATACAGTGCTATCATGCACAGATCCTGGCCATCTAAATACACAATATTAATATTTAATATAATTTAACTAAAATATTTTTTTCGTATTACCTAGCCACAATATTCATTATCTCCATTTTGCTGTTACACACAGCCTGCACATTGAATGAAAAGTAGCCTTTTCGATTTCTGAATTGTTCACCTATATCACTATTTTGGGACTGTATTCTGATGTGAGTACAATCAATAGCACCAATAACCCTAGGAAAATTATGTGTTTGGTAAAATCCAATCTGTACTTCTTGTTTTTCATTTTGGTTCTTGGGCATATTAATGAAGAAAGGACGAAGACATGCTAAACGTTTTGAAACACGTTTAACAATTCTGCATACAGTAGACTTATGCACTTGTATATGATCGCCTAAAACAGCCTTAAAATACAAAAATCATATTTTTTAATATAAAAATTCTCAGGGTAATAATTAGACTAAGCAATGATCCACAAATGTAACTTACTTGTAATGCTCCAGTAGCATAATATCTTAATGCTATTAACAGTTGAATCTCCGGTATGATTGCAAAATTTCTACTTGTACAATGTTTTAAATCAGTTCCAACTGCATTAAGTAACATCATAAATGTGTTCTTTGTCAATCTTTAACATTGTTAAATAAAATACTTATTAAAATATTAAACTATTATTATTATAGTTTATGCCTTATTGACATTTATGCATAATTATTGGTATTTACACACTAGTGACTTACCTAAATCTTGTTTTGAAATCCAAATCATCATAATTTTCAAGATGATTGAAACGATTTCGGAATGTCCGTGGTCTTAGAAGATTAATAATAATTTCAAAAATATGTTCATCATTATTCGATGATGAAGAATTGGATGACGACGATAATGATGATATATTTAAATACATTTTTTTTGTTAACTAGTTATAAAATCATAAATTACTAATTTAAAAAATAAATAACCACATCATAAATAAAATAGGCAATAATTATAGATAGTACATATCGTCGGTTAAAAGGCTATTTGCTGTAAGCGACACTTGCTGTCTAGCGTTGTAGACGACGCTCTATCGATTCCATAGATAATTTTCATGCAGTGATATCATTATTTTATAACGCGTTATCAATAGTCAAACTTTATGCGGTAAGCGACAGGTATGAAAAAAGTACTGTGTAAGCGACAATATTTGATTTAGGTGACATTATAATTAATTTAGTAAGCAGTAAACGACATAATAATTTTGTGTTAAGCGCCCATTTTTTTTTTAATAATGGTGTATACGCCATATTGTCGCTTATAACAGATTAATTTGTCGCCTACAGCATATTTTTTATCTAATCAAATGAGTGGTATCTAATAAAAAAGAAAAAAAATGTGGTAAGTGATAACGATTTTTAGGTTAGTTCAATTTGATCCACGATAAAAAATAATCGGTATTACTTCCGATTTCAGTTACGTATTGCTAATTTATTATTATTAGAATAGAATTTGGTGGATAAAGTTCAGGCGTTTGTGTTGATACCACAGCAAGTAATAGTGGTCGTCTTAATGGGGCATGTGTTCTTTTAGAACAATTATTAAACCGTGATATTTTCTTTCGCATGTCGTCATCATATATTGAGATAGTTTGCAAGCTGTGTTTGCTCGTAATTACTATTTATGAATAGCCTGACATACCTATATTTAAACGGTTTAAAAATCACTGGAAAAATATAGATTTAAGCAATTTTAGAATATTCTACTTTTCAAATTCACATACAAATTTGAAAGACGTTGCAAATAACATATCTTTATTTTGTATACAAAAGATTAAACGATAATTTTCCGAGAGATGACTACAGAATTTCTCGAACTGGTTTAATATTCTAGGTTCACCTCCTCGTGGAATAAATTCGACAACCAGGTGCTTATCATTTGGCTCGATGGATGGCAAAAGCCATTTATTATTAAATTTTATTATTCAGTGATCAATTTAAAATTATTACAAGAGAACAAAACTCTCTTGATGAAGTTTGTTGTTTCATAGTCAAATGCTATATTCAGAGTGGATCACCGCACCAAATCCAGTTACAGCACCCCATGAATGATTTGCTGTTTTTAAAAAAACTAAGAACTACAATGGTAAATTAAGGAGAAGTCGCTATAAGAAAATTTATTAACCATTTATGGTATTTGAACGAGGAATGTGCCGTGTTTTCTATATTTGACGATCGTGTTGACAATGAAACAAAACAACGAATGGCAAACTACATTTTAGAAAGAAGAACGATATAGTAATGACAGTGAGGAAGAAAATGAAGATCGAAAAAGTGCAAATTTAAAGTTTGAGTAACCTTTCATTTTTAAATGAATCCATCATTTGATTTATTAATAATAAATCATGGAAAATGTTGAACGCTTTTCAAATTTCTGATATATTTTACAAGCAGACCCAAGTATGGAAAGACATAGAAGAATATAAACAAGCTAAAAGAAGTTATATCGTCATTAAAATTGTTGTGATACAGCAGAGAGGTGTTAAGATTGATGGAGGAATATAATCAAAAATTTTCAAAATGAAGAACGAAACATTTACTTCTGGTAAATATAAAATCAATCGAATCTTCATCAAAAATGCCTAATAATTGAATATATTTTCAGGTTGTTCAAGAATATCGCAAAACATTTCCATTGCAGTCGTGAAGTTTTAAAAATTTTGAATATTATTTTGTGGGTATAATTTATATAATATTCTTACTCATAACATTATTTGTGAAAATTCGATTTTATTTAATTAGTATATAAAACAATTTTCTTATCTTCCAAACCGTTCATAAAATCGTTAAAAACAAATAGATATTTTGCCTATTAATTAAATGCGCATTTTCAGAGAAAACAATAGATTTTGGTAAAATGTTGTAATGTAGTTGGCTTTATAGAAAATTATGCACTATTTAATAACTCTTTGTAATTTTATCCATAGCTGTATTATTTTAGAGTAAAATACGAAGCAAGTAAAACTACCCTATTTAGCAATTTCAACCCTCTTGAGGCACGGGAAGGGGTTGAGTCATCATCCGCAAATTTAACCTAAGTGCGCATGTGATATCAAACAAATAGGGGTCCTAATAAA